ACTCTGGCTAGCCCTCCTCTCTGGCCTTCTGTGTCAACCATCAAGCCCAGCAGCACATCCGGGGCCTTTGCTTTCATTCCACAACAGCAGTGACCGGATCACTGGTTTACTTCAGAAACATGTACTGACCCTGCGCACGTGCTTGACTCCATGCTGCCCGTGGGACTGTAAGCGTGAGCCAGACACAAAGACACCGGCTCTCACAGGGCTACAGTTCAGCAGGAGGAAGAACAATGAACTAATTTCAAAAGTAGTGACCAAGGCAGAGGAAGGGAAGCACCGAGGACGATCTGCAGACGCAGGGAGGGGAGGCATCACCGAGTTTTTGAGGATTAAGAAAGGAACATCCTTTCTTTCCAGAATTGTCATTCCTTTGTTCCCACCTCGCCTGTGTTCCAGTCTTATCAAGAGATGCAGGTCCCCTGATGTCCTTCTCTCGTGGCAATTTGTTATCTCTACCTTTGCGTGCTTTCACTGCGCCTGAATTCGTGAATAATTATTTTAAACCATTCTTTTACTGATAATTTTACTTCTCTCTCTATTCTTCTAGGCCCTACCTGAAAAACCCTCAACCCTGGATCAAGACAAATGTCCCTTGTGCTTCCCCCATCTTCACAGCACTGGTTTCTGTCGTCTCCATCTCTTCAAGCTCACGCGCCTATTACCACTGTCATTTTGAGTCAGAGGAAAGGGTAGAGCCTTCACTCACTCCTCGCTTCATTGATGCACTCATTATTTCACCTAACAAATACCTGAGGGCCAGGTACCAGTTCAGGCTTAGGGTTGCAAATCGATGAAACTGCCCTCACAAGCCTACATTTTGGTGGGAGTGAGAGACCAACATAAAGCTAATACACAGGTAAGTGATATAGTTGGCAAAGCGTCTAAATGTTACGGGGTGCGGTGGGGGAGACCCAGCCCGTTAGGGAGACTGGGAGTCTGCAGTGGGAGTTTTCCGACACAGACTACAAGGCCTCACTGAGGTGAGATCTGAGCAGACCCAAGGGTGGCGAGGGGGCCAGTCCACGCAGAGGGGCCGCCGCGGCAAAGGCCATGAGCGGAAGCATGTCTGTCACCTCCCCGCACCCACTGGCATGTGGGAGGAACAGCACGGGCCGGGGTGGCAGGCGGGCCGATCTGATGGGGCCTGCGGCTACTGTAAGAACGCGACTTGGCTAAGAGACGGAAGGGAGCCACTGGAGGGCTGGACAGAGAAAGCAAGCGGGCGACCCCTCAGGTGCTGCTTCCTCCACGACAAACTCATCCGCATCACTCCCCACACCGTCTTCCCCGAAGTTGCCATGGAACATTCCTCTTCTGGGCTGACTCACTCCTGCTTGGGATGTTAGCCACTGTGGTTCCATCGGGGACTTCCCTCCACCAGTTATCTCCCCGTTTTCCCTGTATCTTGAGCCTCTACCTCTGGAGATTTTGTGTGGGCAGCAAAGGCCCCCCTACCTTCTCAATACCATCCTCAACCCCACATCCCTCTTTCTAGTGACCACCTTCTTTCCTTCTCCTTTTACCACATGTACTTGGAAGACATTTTTCTCTTCCCCGTGGACCTTCTCCTCCTAGTCATTAAACCGTCCATCCGTTCAGTAAACCGTATGAGCACATACTGTCTGCCGGGACTATGCTGGAGACACAGAAACGGGGCATGTGGGCCCCGGAGCTCCATCCATGCAACCCGCTGTAGGCTCGACCCACTGATGCTTCTCATTTTTCAATTTTTTTATTGTGACATAATTTGACACTTGCAGAAAAGTTAAAAGAAAAGTAGAAAAACTTTCCCCAACATCCTTCAACTGAACTCCCCGAGTGCTAACATTTTATTACATTAGCTTTATCTCCTATATTCATTCCCATTCTCATTCTCTCTCTCTCTCTCTCTCTCTCTCTCTCTCTCTCTCTCTCTCTCTCTCTCTCTCTCGGTGTGGGTGTACAATGTATAGCTTATATTTTTTTGAATTGCAGTATGATGTCCTTTTAATAACTTCAGTGTATATTTCTTAGAAACAAGGAATTCCTTTACCTCAGTAGTTATCAATAACAGGAAAAATGATGCAGTACTATTTTATATTTTTATCCTCACCCAAGGACATTTTTCAATTTTTTTGTTCAGATAGAGTGGGAGGGAGAGAAAGGAAGAGAGAGATAAATATCGATGTAAAAGGGACACATCGAGTGGCTGCCACCCGCACGACCCAACCAGGGCTGGGGACAAACTGCAACCAAGGTACGTGCCCTTAGCGGGAACCGAACCTGGGTCTCTCTGGACTGCAGGCCAGCGCTCCAACCGCTGAGCCAAACCCGCCAGGGCATGATGCAGTACTATTATCCATACTTTCAAAAAACACATTTCTTTACAATATCTGATTTTCAACTGTACTTTAAAATCATTACTTTTTAAAAGTATAAATGTTATACATATGCATTGGAAAACTTTTTTTGAAAAATGCAGAAGGAACCAAATTCAAATTATACTCCTCCATCCAGAGAGAGCAATCATTCATTTTTATATACACGTACAGACCCATACACATACGCATAAATGCCCTTTTTAAAAAGAAATAAAATTGTTATTATACTGAATACACTACCTGTAATCTGCTTTTTCACTTAATATAGTTAACTATGTCCTCATTGAGTTTTTTAAAAGCTATTTTTAATCATTGTATATCAATCTATCAGAGACAGTACTTTCCTGTAATTTCCCCACCTTCACTTCAAGTTCAACATTCTTTCTCTTCCTTAATCACCTCCATTTTCACTCAATTCCCTGCCCATCTCTCATATGTTGGTTTCCCCTGGGTTCTGTCTTCAACCCTGCATACTCTGCATGTCTTCAACCCTGCATACTCTCCGCACACTTGCAGAATTTCCATTCCGTGTCTTTCCTGAGCTCCCACTTCTTCAAGTGGATGTTACCTCGCAATGAACAAGTCAAAAACGGAACCCGCCACCCTTCTTTCTCGGTCATCTCCTCTGACATCCCCTCACTCTGAACGTCTTCCTGTCTCGCCTTCCCCCGTGCTCATTGGTCACTATGACCATAAATTCTATTTCATAATACATCTTTAAAAAAATTGTTTTTCTTTGTTGATTTTAGAGAGAGAAAAGGAGAGGAAGCGAGATAGAAACATCAATGAGAGTGAACATCGACTGGCCACCTCCTGCATGCTCCCCACTGGGGATCTGGCCCACAACCTGGGCATGTGCCCTGACCGGGAATCGAACTGGCAACCTCCTGGTGCACGGGTCGACGCTCAACCACTGAACCACACTGACTGGGCAATAACACATCGTAATCTGTCACCTTCCCAAACCCATTGTCTGCATCTGATCTCAGGTCTTTAGTATTTTTTGCCTAAATTAATGGGAAACAAATCTCTAACCAGTGTCTCCACTTCAGTACACCATCTCCCACCACTGGCTGCAGTCATAATCCTGTCTGTGCCTATGACCACGGAACCCCTTCCCCTGACACTCCCACTGCACTCAGGACAACACACACCATGCCCTGCGCCCTCTGCAGCAGCCCCGCTGCTCACGCGGACACCCGAGGACGCTGGGCTGTTAGCAGTCCCTCCACGGCCGTGCCTGTTCCCGGGTCTCCTCCGCGGGAGGCTCCAGCTGCCCCTCCGCAGGTCCACGTGTGCTGTAGTCCTACTTTTTTTTTTTTTTAAAGCAGCTTATAAAGTCTCCATGCCTCCTTCCTGACCCCTTCCTTCCTAGAATTGGGGTGGACACTGTCCCCTTCCTTCACATAAAATGGGAGTGGGGGCTGTTTCCTTCCTTCATAGAATCTGGGTGGAGGGCTGACCCCTATATTCCTACTAACTTTTAAAGGCTGAGTACAGGCATCTCTTCCAGGAAACCTTCCTTGACCCCCCCTCCCCACCAGGTCTCTGTTGGGTTCTCCCTGGGTATTCTTGGGGTTTCCTGGCTTCCCTCTGCGCCATTATCCAACTGGACTATGACGGTCTGGTCTTTCCTTCAGCCCCTGAACCCAAACAAGGACCCTTCTCAGACATCTTTGAGTCCATAATAGCACAAAGCACGTCCTCTGGTATAAGTCAAGTTCTAGTCAGTGTTTTAAAGAAGAACTAATGGTTACTGGCATAATTAGTATAAAAGTGATGCATTTGCATTTTATTTTATATCTACATATAATTCCTTTTCACTGTGATGTGTATTAAACAAAAGATCCTGAGAGCTAGATTAAAGCAATCACAGATTTAGGAAAGTATATCTCTTCCCATTGAGAGGTTTTATAAATACAGCAGACAATGCGAAAATGGTAAACATTTAAGAATTACTTCTGATACAAATAATGTTTAATTGAAATAGTCCAAGCTGGGTAATTTCACAAATGTATAATCATCTCCTCACATTTACTTTACTATCACAATCATTTTATTATCAGCAACTTCATTATCACAGATGTGAAATTTGGGTATTTGGTTTGTTGGAAGCAGACTTTCTAAATGTGAAAGAGAGTAAAAACCAACTTGATGATTTAACGCTGCTTTACAAAGCTGTTTAATTGAGATCTGTAATTGACAAGACAGCTGCTTAGAAGGATGGCTTGTAAGTCTGCTGAGGGGCATCGAAGCCAGCTTTCACCTACTGAAATTTGCATGGTGGGAGAAAATCATACAAATGAGACAAAAGGGGAAGGAGCCAGTAACATAATAAAGATAATTTATAGAAGAAAGAAACAACAAAATCCCTTTTGATTTTTATCTCCATCATAGAATACCAACATTTCCAGCAAACACTTTATCATACTAAATAAAAACATTAGAATTGCAAATATGTCACTCTGAGAAAAGCTGCATTATTTATATGATACACACACACACACACACACACACACACATATATATACCATACCATGCATTTTTACACACATGCATATATGTATTTGTATATATAAATAAACTGGGAAAAATAATGTTTTGTATTAATGTAAAAATCTAATACTGATTCCTTACCTGAACCTGAGAAATTGTCTAAAGACCCGTCTGCTGTTGTTGAAACTATTTCACTGCTGCTCATTGGCTCTGTTTTAACTACAAAAATAAACAACATATATCATATATCCAAGTTATCTGTAAAGATATTGTAGAAGAGATATAACATTCAGAATAGTTACATAGGAAATTATTTTCAAAGTCAGTCTTTTTCTATTTAGATGTAATTCAGATTAATATTCCTAATAGAATCTTTAAAAAAATATATATTGGCATGTTAAATATTTTCTCCCTAAGGAAACAATCTATTGTAACAAGTTATCCTTTAAAAGAAATGCTTTAAACTAAAAGCAGTTAAGTTCACTGTTTTCTAACATATTTACTGAACTGCTTATTAATAAATAACTTATCTCAAAGTGTGCATAAAGTGGAGGTAAAATTACCATGGGTTTGTAGCCAATTGGCCAAACAGTCAAATGACAGAATAAAAAGACCTAAGAAGCGGGTAAGACTGGCGGCAGGTGTTCACGGTGCTCACGGACAGGTGCATGGGTGCACAAGTACACGTACACACACACACATGTTCTCAGTTATCCAGCATGGCTAAAAAACAGAGTGCTCAATTCAATGGATTATTATTACCACCCAGCCATATCTGGTAGCCAGTTCATCAGTATCAAAGGTACATTTAGTGTTAAAAACACACTAAATGTAAATGAAGCAGAAATGTTTTCCATTCCAAAATAATACTGATAGCAGTCAGTCTGTGGAAAACATATATGACCTTTGATAAAGTTCCTTGGGGCTGTCAAATAAAAACCTTTAGATTTATGCTAGAGGTTCTCTAAGCAACCCACTCTACAGATACAGCGGTGGTATTACTGCACCCCTATCAAACAGATGGGCCAGAGCACCGCAGAGAATTAGCCATTTTCCCTAGTTTTAGCTCATGTTAGAAGGAAGACATAGCATTTGTATCTTCCCCAGTAAAGTGCTACATCAGAATTTGCCCAGCCTACTTCATAGGAGTTATACGTCCCCATTAACAGGTTTTCAGAAAGAGTGCAATACTATGTTAGGGGCTACCTAAAAATCAATAATGTGCTTTCCGAAATGAAAGCCCTAACAAGATTAGGGGAGGCTTTTCTCACAAAGTAAACACACTCTGAAATGGGAAAGGACAGTGGAGAAAATGTAGCTTTTCCTTCTCTCAGCATTCCCAATCTCTTATAACCAGCAGGCGAAGGACCCATTTACCCCCGGGCCTTTGAAATTTTGACTAATGCATACTGAGTAGTTTTAAAATAGGCATTATAAATAGTTGCAGCAGATAGTCACTTTCAAAAAAATTAATTATTTAGACTGCTTCTAAACAAAGTTGAAAAATAAAACCAGTGAGACGAACAGGAATCACTCCAACTGCTTGTTTTAATGCAGACCAAACAACAGTGTAACTGAAGTTTTCACTTTTCCACCGCTTGTTTGGGGTTAGAAGTCTTAGTTGATGCTAATAAATTCTGACATAAGCCTGTATTTCTGTTCTCTCTTCACGCCTCCAGGCAACCTAATGATCTTGCTCTTTGCAAACATTATGCGGCCCAGAGATTTAGGAAAACAGGTCCGCCTCTGCTGGTGCCCAGCGCTAAGTTTCCTGCTCAGTTGCCCACATTCTCTCTTACCTTCCTTAAAAAGAACGCACATAATGCCCTTTATCAACTCCTTGAATGCACACATAAAGCAATAGCTCTGTTTCACTCTGTCCTGGACAGGCGGCCACTGGAATTCTGAGCTCAGAATCCCACACCACATGCCTCGCAAAAGATTAGAAAGAGGCCCACAGGGTACTGGTCGTGTAAAATGCCTACTATATGTCAGATTCTTTACTGACGTTATGATTAATCATTTCAAATAATTCTACACGTAGGTCTCAGAGCACAACTCACCAACTCCCTAGTTAGATACCGTCTTCTGGTTTCACATGCGAAAAATTAAAACCAGAGGGTCTAGGAATCTGCCCAAAGTCACACAGGAAGAGGCAGAAATGGGATTGAATTTTGGCCGTTTTTGGTTCCAAGGCTGGAAGAAACGGCAGTAAGTAGCACTTCCCAATAACTAGAGCTACTCTGCAGCAGAGCTGGGCCAGAGGAGTGCCACACTGCCGTCTTTAAGAGGCATAATCATAACCAGCTCCATCTGTTAGCGCCAAACAGATTTAGGTTTTAACCGCACACCCCCCGCCAGTCACGGGGCTCACGGGGCACACGGGGCGGGCTTGCTGTGCTAGCCGGTTCACGCTTCCAGGCCAACGAACTGGCTAGCTAGCACACGTCAGGTAGCAGCTGGGCTCTCTGGAGAAGATGGTGACCAATACCTTTCCCATGCGCGGGATGGTAGCCCAGATCACTCCTAAGTCTTTGCCAAATCTAAGGTGTACGAATCTGTAGGCTGGACCATAAAATTACTTGAGGAAAGCCAGATTATACCAAAACAACTCCTCCTGTCCCTTAAATTTACCCTACCTGTGCTCCATACGACGGGCTTAGTCAAGTGTAGCTTTCACTCCCAAGAGACACATTCAATTATATTTGAAATTCCATTAAAACTAGGCAGAAAGAATAGGAAGGAAAGGAAGAAGATACTTTCTTGTAGGGCCCCGAGTACACTGCCTTTTCGCCATTGTTCAAATATGCCCATCTATACACTAAGAAATAAAGACTCCCTTTTCTGAATGAATCCAATTTGTAAAAGGCTCACTGTTGAAGAGAAGAGGATGTACATACGGTAACTACCAGGACAGTTGTGATGTTATCAGGTACTGTAACAGAACACGGCATCACCAGGGGCCTGGTGCTCAAGAGACTGGTGATTTGTTGTGATGGAAAACAGTTTCTGAATGAAAGCCCAACGAAGAGACCACTTCTGGCTTTGTGGTTGCCAAGCAGACACCCACTGGAAAGGCAAAGACAAGAATGGTCCCCGGCCACCAAACCTTTACTCATCCCCACTGGCTAGCACAGCACCACCATGGCTACCAACATGCTGCAGATAATATAACAGAGCACTGCCCTAAGGCTTTGAATTTAAAAACACCACATACTGAAATTTTTCTGCCTTAGAGATTTAAGCTACTGTCACATCTGCAAACAATTATCCCATCTAAGCCACCTATCTGAAAAGAAAAAAAAAAATCTATGAACCATCTGTTCTCTAAATAGCTATAGGACTCTTTTATTTCCTTCATTACATGACTTTCATCTATTAGAAAAGAGTTTTTATTCTCTGTTGCCCCAAGAGTTTATTTTTTTCTACCACCCCAACTTTCCATCTGATACTTCAAAATTCTCCTTTGCCCCTTTAATGCCTCCGATCCCCCCTCCACTCCTTCCCTCGGCCATGTCCCTGGGCCTGTGTCACACTGAGCAACTGGCCTGTCCAGAGGCGGCAAGACTTCCATCTGTCAGTGCCGCTGAGCTTTGTTTTGGACTCAGAGAATCCAGTTACTTGCTATCAGACTTTCTGGAACTTATCTGATCCCTTCAACCTTCATTAGCTCATATATAAAAAATTTTTAAGTGATACCTACATTACAGGAATGCATAATCCATAAAAATGTATGTCAAGTACCTGGTCTGAAGCAGAAGCTGAAACTATCGTCATCGTCATCATCATTAGGAGCAGAGGTGTTATATTTCTGCGACACTGCCTGCTTCTCCTGGGGAGTAAGTCCCAGGGGAAAATAGCAACGAGAGTTAAAAGCATCAGCTTTGAAATTATCATCTAAATTTCAATCTGGTTTTGCGATTAACAGGGTAAACCTGGAAGAGTTCTTCAACTTCTGCATGCCTTAGCCTCCTCGTCTATACGTGGGGCTACTATACTCATGAGGGGATAAAAATGGTAAATGCTTATGAATCATTTAACGCTGCACTAGGTCCAGAGGCCATGCTTTTATAGTCACGCTACCATTACAGTGTCTCTTTAATGATGAGAAATCAAAGTGTTTCTTATGGGCCACAATCTAGTATAACATTCACATTAAAATTAAGCTTGCTTTTAAACAGCAAATTGGAAGAATCTCAAGTTAAGTGACTTGTCTAAGATCAACCACGAGGCCTTTGCCTCAGAAGAGCCGAATTCAAGGTCACTTGGATGTCACGTAAGAAGGCAGGACTAAATCATGATTGAGAAAACTTATACCTTGGTCATTCCAATCGGCACATATTATTTCTGAAGTAACAGGCTAGCAGGTAAGTGTGAGTGAGGATACCAGGAAAAAATGTGGGCATCGCTCTCCAGCTCGGTTTAAGGTGAGTACACTGTACCTCGTGCAGGAAAAGAGACACCTGTGTTCTTTCACCATAAACTTAAAGGCAGACAGACCTATCAGACTGTCAGAGCAGGTGACAATAGCGACAAAGATCATCCAACTTACTTATCACACCATGATTGTTTCAAGAAGCAACTTCTGGTTATATACATTGAATGTTGTGGTCACATACATAACCTTCAGGAAGAGGCTAGGCTGGTCAGAGGATCAAGTACTCAGTCCGAGTGATTGGTTATTTCTCACCATGGATTAGGAGAACAGTTAAAGTAAATTCATCCCCCAAGGGCAGCTCTACCTGCTGGACCGAGAGCCAGCCTCGTTGTTACGAAGAATCCACCCAGGACGCACCAGCCCGGTGAGCGGCAGGTCGGCCCAAGCAGTAGTCAGCTCCTCTCACAACTTTTCTTCAAACTCAGAACAGTACAGCTTGTCTCTGGGACACATGCTTGGTCTTCCTGGATATTTTATTTCCCACTATAATGCTTAAAGACTTCAAACACTCAGTCCCCCATCTCTCTACTCTTCCTTATGATCCCTTCATCTCTTCTGTCTCAATGAAATGTCCCTTCATTCCACTTCGGTTATTAAATGGTTCAGTAACACCGCCGTCTAGAACTCATTGCTGCCAATAAATGTCACCTTTTACTTTCTCTGTCTGCTCACTTCAGTTACTTTCTCATCAGAACATCCTGTTTTTCTAAACCCCTGTCCATTCCTCCACTCCAGCTGCACCAGCCTGCCCTGGAGCCCAGAGCCCCCGCCCCGGGATCCC